TTTTATTAGTAAGTGTTCTGAAATTGCATTGAAACACTGCACACACTGCAACAAAGCTGAACAACTACAGCCCCAGTTGCCAAAGATGGGGATAGTTCAACAGTTGGAACAAATCAGACAAATCTGTTCAACAGGCAGAACTGTCATAAACTTTGGCTTGAACGCATGAGAGCATTTCTGTAAGAGGGCCTTGTCAGCCCCCACCAGGGCCTGACATACCCCAGAGCCTGTTGACGACAATTCACTGACCAGCAGGATGACCAGCACGGCCGAGAGCCAATACCCACGCTACACTTGCAGGCTGCAGTGGGAAATTGCCTAGGCGATTGTCCCTTGCACTTCCTCACAGGCTGATGAGTCCTACTCTGATGAGGGGACACCGATGACACCAGCTGAACGTCTGCTTTGAAGAACACCACCATTTCCAATTAGTGAGTATTAGCATATTCAGACATTATCATATATTAAAAATACTTTTAACAACATACCAAGGCACAAATTTATTATAATGCTTTTCTAGCCACAAAAGGTCATTCTGTAGGTTAAAATTTTAAGTTACACTACCAGTAAAAAGTTTATTGTTATGATCAGCGTGGAAGAAGGAAGAGGAAGGAAAACCAAGTTTATTTGAGAGGGGTGTGGTTTTTTTGCCATTAGTGAGGATTAGTGCATTCGTTCTGTAGTTCAACACACCAGGAATCATTTCAACAACAATACCATCTTGTAATCACTCAAGTGATCTAACAGTCCTAAGCTGAAGTAGGGAACAAGACATGAAACAAAGCTTGTATCTAAAATGGTATCAAAACAAACATCTTAATCTGGGGTAAATGTGAGTTTCTTTTACAACAAAGAGACAACACACTTTTAAGAAAAGCAAACATTTACTTCAAATTGCAGTATAGGCTTTTCAATCACAGAAAAAGAAAAGAGAAACAGTGATCCAACAGCGGTCACATCCTGTGCAAAAAAAAAACCAAACTTGGGATACAAAAAAAAAACCCAAACCAAACCTGTAGCACAAGGTACTTGAGCCGCTTACACATTGCAGGATAAAGTAAATAAATACAGTAGCTAGAATATGGCACTCTTGTGACAGACTCTAAACCCAGTGGAATGCCTCTGAAATATTTTTTTATCCTCGTATTAGTAGCAAAGTCCCACCACCATAAAAGTAAAATAGTACAATGTTTTAAATAAAAACAAACTAAAATATTTATATCTAAGAGAAGGATTTTACACAGTTATATCTCTTTAAGTGCAGAAAATGGGACTTGGGCTTAGATCTTTCTTTAATTTAACCCCCCCACACACAAAATCCCATTCAATCTCAAAAGTGAATTTATGTTTGAGGAAAAGTGTTACCAAAGTTGCATAATTTCATTTGTTACTCCCACAGCTGGAAGTTAAATTCTAAACAGTCTTGAAACATGAATGTTCATCATTAGCCAGTGAAACAAAGGACTTGTCAAAAGCCCTCGGATTTCTTTATCCTCCCAATATTGTTTTGCTTTCTCCTACATCCTTAGACAGCAATCCCTAAGTTTGCAAACAAAAGAATGCAATATGCATCATACATCAAGAAAAGACGAAGTTGACGAAGAAGAACTTCCACGTTTCTGGATCTTTTCCTTGCTTCTTTCAAACTTCTTTATGATCTCAGTCACTATGCACACAGAGGAGGTGAGTCCCAGAAGAAACAGTAAATCTGGAAAGAGATAATTAGCCTTGTTTAAATTTGCTATTTAAGGCTGAGGGCAGACACAAAAGAACAAGGCTTGCAAGTTTTTCAAATTGTCTCCCCGTCATTGGGTGAGTTCAGGGGAAATGAAGCAAGAACCAATTTCTGCAGGACCAAAAGGTGAACATGTTTAGGTTTATGCACAGATCGTAAGTATAGCCCTGATATTTCAAACTTTCGAAGTATTTCATAACCCTATTGTTATCAACACCTATGAAAAGGTCCCTTCCAACCCAAACCGTTCTACAATTCTATGATAAAAACAAACACATAATTAACTTCATACTAAAAAAATATTAATATCATCAGAAATGACGCAATAAACAGCGTACGTAGAAACATGTATTTCACGACAATCATTTAACTCCAGAAAACCACAGAAGTAAACAATGTAAGTCTTAATGAGGCCAAGAGCATTACGTATCTATAGGTAATAGATAGGTTCTTAAAATCTTCATGCCCGTTTATCCTATGACAGTGCAGTTGATTATTTAATAAGAGATTAAAATTTAGAAATATGCTTATATTTAGAGAAAAAAACCCCTTGCTAAACAGCAAGATTAATTGTGCTTAAAAAACTTCAATAAACTCTAGGCTTCGTTTTTCACCTGCATCAAAATTTGTATTAAAACACCCAGTATACATAAGTACCTAAGAAATACAGGAATGCACTGATCAGTTGTGTAACATACCATATAGAGCATGATTGCCAAAGAAAGTATCTAAAAGGATTTTGTGTTTCCTTAAAAAAAAAAAGCAAGCTTTATATTCCTGTTGTATGCAAAGAACCAGGAAGTGCTCTTATAGAACCACCAGCTAATGCATCTACAAATCAATCCTTAATGCACAGTTTTGAAAAAGGAACCGTTCTTACCCAAGATACTCAGGCTCTCTGTTTGGAAAACTTTCTGAAGTGGAGGAAAGTAAATGACCAATAGCTGCCCCATTATAGATCCAAGGACGGCATAGCAGAACATTTTGTTACTGCAAAGTCCAATCTCAAACACAGATTTTGCCTGCAAAACAAACAACACAACTCTGCACACGCAAACTTCATTATCTAGACAAGGAAATAATTCCTAACTACAATTTCTTTTCATCCAGGCTTTTAAGAATGTAAAACATTATTGTGGACCTCTTTCTTAGAAGATCCAGAGTATGTTCCTGAATGGCCTGCTGGCATTTTCCCTCTGGTAAACAGAGTACAAATCTTGTCTTCGCATTAAGCAACGTGTACGCTTGGGCTCACTTTTCTGCGAGTACAGCACGTTAGACGGTGCCCTTACACCAGAGGGAAGTGGTTTTGTTGGCCTGGAGAATTCACATCAGAAAACAGACTGCAAACTAGAGGAAATCTAGTAACATATACTAGCAATTTACTTCTCTCCAACCAGCACGGAATTTCAGACTTGTTTCCTTAAAACAAAAATATGGGCAGAAAGAACTGTTTAAGAAATTTTCCTTGGATTATGGGTTAGGGTTACAAAATAAAGTTAAGGCCTTCAAGATGTTTCAGATTCTGGCAAGGATGACTGAACTGACAGAATTTTAAGGGGGGAAAAAAAAAAAAACCCAAACAAACCCAAGAGAGTGGATACAGTAATTCAAAGGACCATCACACTTCAGCTTTTAATAAAAATTTCCTGGCTCCTGTCAGGACAGAAACACTACTACCAGCTCTGCATCACATAAATTAAGGAAACTGATACTTACCTGTCATTTAAGAATGCCTAACTAGTAAATATGTGAAACTCTGAAGCTTAATAGCAGATCTTAGGTAAATCTGCAGGAGAACATTTAAAACAAACACAGCAAAATCCTCCCTCAAAGGAAATTCAAAGGAAATTCTGCTTGTTGTGTAAATACGGTGTAAGTGGATAATACGAATCACTTACCTGAGATCTAGAACTCAAGGCATTGAACATATCAAAAAACACGAAACAGGTGAAAGTCATGGTTGTATCTCGAGGCGTTATTACATTGTCTCTTAGCTGCCAACACAAGAAAACGAAATGGCTTTAGCATGCTCCAAACCCTCCACAACTGAACAAAGTTATTACAGTAATTCCAAGTTCTACTAGCCAGTAAGTGAAAGCAAAAGGAATTTGTTAGCCCCAAGCTGGTTTGATCAATCATACAGCCCACGTGACCCACCGGTATCCTGCAGTTTGCAATTCCAAGCTGTGATTAAACGAAGCCTCTCAACAAGCATTTACGCAAGCACACGGAATATCAAGAATTTTACGACGCGCTACCAAAAGTTCAAACAACGTTCTTCTCTACTGGGAAAAGAAAGTTCTGTCTAGAAGATCTGTACAACTACTTTCTATGGGCCAAGGTTTCCCAAGTAGATCTAGGACCTGGAGAAGTCTGTGTCAAAACAGACTGGGGAATAAAACTGTATTCCTCATTTCAACAACTACTTTGAAAATCCTCCTCTCTAGTCTGCTAGCTGCACAGATTCTTCAATAAGCATGGACAAAGCTTGCAATCAAGTTCATTCTGCTTTAAGTTTTGTACTTTTGTCATACCTCTCTCCAGAAGACGAACAGTGTTCCACACACGATAATTATGGACGAAACCAGTATTTTCACAATCAGGTTTTTGGTCAGAATGCTGTCCTTCAGATTTCTTGGAGGCTTCTGAATAACATCTTTATCCACAGGCTCCACCCCAAGACTTACAATTAAAAGAACATCTTAGATTTTTATCATCGTAAAAATAATTCACTGCTTCTAACTTAAGGACTCGATTTTTTTTTTTTTGAGTTGAAAGAAAGATTTGAGTCTCCTTTCTACAGCCTAAGAATTGCCTCATTCAAATAATCACATGATATTTCCACTTTCAGAAAACTGCGTTCTATGTTCTACTAACAGGCAATATTCTAACACTGCAATTTGAGAATCCATAAATACCTGATACAAGACAATATTCAAATTACCAGATGTTAATTTTAAAGGAAGCTGCAATATTAGTCACGTGCCTCTTTTCTGTTACCATGATCAACCTAGCTAAGGAATTTACTGCTAGTTCCTTTCCACCTTTCCCTTCTACCACCTATGTGCAGTGAAGAGGGCCAGAGGAAGAACCCAGAGGGAAGCCTGCATGCAAGCTGCATGGGCCTGTCTGTGGATCTTTAGGTATCCCTGCTGCCCCCATAATTATCACTGGACACTAAAGCAAACCAAAAGGAATGAACATAGGACTATATTGCCAACACTGTATTTCAAAGAACAAGGTTGGGGTTTCAGAAACATTTCACTGAAGTTTAGCACTTCACAGAGTTTCCTTTATGAACAACCATTTTCCTTCCTGAAAAAAAAGGACTACAGACCTCTGATGGAATTTAAAGTAATTACTTACCTTTGAGCTGGAGGTCCATCCATAATAATGTTGATCCATAAGATCTGCATGGCATTGAGAGGATTAGGAAAGTTCATTAATGTAGCCAGTGAGATTAAAGTCAGTGCTGCTATACTCCTGTTGAAAGAATCCATTTTTATAACCGTCAGCATGGAATATTTCCGAAGATCCACCGACAACTGCTTTGTAATCAACGCTTCAGCTGTTTAAGAGTAGATACAGACTTTGACAGTGTGCATCACGGCTGACGTACGCCTCACTTTAAAGCCAGAGCATGAAATCATTTAGGATGCTCATCCTGACACAGGCCATATTTAAAGCAGCATTGTTCTGGCAAATGTGTGTCTTACAAACCTCCCAAACTTGAAGATAACATTTCGGAGTTATCACCCCCATCACCTAATTGATGTTTTTACTGGAGAACTGGGTCTTGTACTTTCATTGTGCCAGAAGCAGAACTTGAAGCATGGTTCTGAGATGCAAAACGCTTTTAGACTTTTGATGGAAACACAACCACTCTTGTGCACCTGCCACTAGTTTGACTAATCAGCCAAGGCAAGGTACTACCTGAGCTCCCTAAAAATACCTCTACCACCCCTCATTATTAGCAAGATGAGAAGGTTAGGCAAAAGCCTGAAAACAGATTAGCAGGTTCCAAGTTGGGTACTAGAAACCTCACTGAACAGGCATGCACTAATTGCTTTCAGTGCAAGATTAAGTGGTTTCCTAACCATGAGAGCAAAGGCTTATGATAATTCCAAATTTAGCGCTTTGCTGAACCCTGCACAGAGGGGAAAAAAAAAAAAAAAAGGGTAACTGATTAATCAACACCTCAGACTACCACTCCCAAGGCCAACAGGCAAGCACACTTCCCTAGATTTATCTGTGCTTAGTTATTTTTCAGAAGCAGATTTCTCGTCTTCTACCAGTGCAGGACACTAGTCAGGACTGAAAGTAAACGACACTTCTAAAAATTGCATAAAAATTTTAAAGAGGCTGGTGTTTTCTGGGTTTTGTTGTGTTGGAGGGTTTTGGTGGGGATTATTTGTTTTGCTTTTGCATTATTTGGGGAGGGGTATTGGGCACTTGAGGGAGTTTCAGGGGGTATTTGGCATTTGTGAGGTTTCCAGTGTTGACACTAGTCAGGACTGAAAGTAAACGACACTTCTAAAAATTGCATAAAAATTTTAAAGAGGCTGGTGTTTTCTGGGTTTTGTTGTGTTGGAGGGTTTTGGTGGGGATTATTTGTTTTGCTTTTGCATTATTTGGGGAAGGGTATTGGGCACTTGAGGGAGTTTCAGGGGGTATTTGGCATTTGTGAGGTTTTCAGTGTTTGTTTTAAATTTCTGCAACTTTATTCAACCACTCTGAAATGCCATGAAGCCTTCAAAAAAACTTTACGAACAATGCAGCAAAGAGGAAAAACATGTTTCTGAATCCAGATTCAACAAGATAAACTCACAAAATTTTTGAAACTAAGGCTTAATTAACTCTTGTCTTACATACAGATTATATAGTTAGCATAAGGGATCCTTACATGCAAGCAAAGTCAGCTTCACAGGGCTAACTCCTTCCACAAACCAGTATTTGGGTTACAGAGGAACTATAATCCCCTGTTTCCCTGGTCCCCTTCATTTGATAAACATGTTCTGGTTAAGGAGGGAATGACTGCTAACTTCTCCTTTAAACAAGGACCCAAAAGGCAGCTACGCTGATTTTCCCTATCCTCTCAGTTACTGAATTTTCACATCTTAACAGGAAGAACTGTGACAAAGGTAGATGTCTGTTTATTGCACTGGTTCCTGTTTCTCTAGAAAGGAAACAAGCCACCAAATCGAAAATACCGAAGTTTTGAAATCATATCAACACCCTACATGAAATTTGCAGTGTTCACATGAATTTATGCAGCAGCTGCTTGTGGATGCTTTGATTCATTCACAATGTAATCAGGAACTTCTGATATTGTCAACTTTTAACTTACGTGCTCAGTTGAAATCTAACAAAATTTTTTATGTTATTATAAATTCCTTTACCCTCTTCAATTGCAGACCTGCAACAAAAAACAAAGGCTACATCACCAGACAAATAAGTCTACTGCAAAACAAAAAAAAGCTTAGAACAAGTTAGAAAAGCTATTACTTTAAGCATCAATACGAATGCCAAAAAACAAATGGAGTTGAGGTTCTTTAACTCTGGCAGTCAGTGTTTTTCCAACTCCAGCATGACTTTAGATGTATTCTTACTGCAGAGTGAAAAACGTATAGACCATCTTCTCAACCTCTAGCGTGTGTCGCAACCTGTCTATCCCCTTACTGCCATTACAGCAGTCAGAAGGTATTTTCTGATACTTAAGTGGAGTCTACTCTGCTGCAAATAAAACGGATGACTTGCTTCCATTCCCCCAGTAGCAAAGAAGAACAATTAATCAGCATTCCTTTCGTAACTTTTAAGAGAAAAAGACTAAAGGGCTTGGTGGACGGATGTAAATCTGTACTTTTTTTTTTTTTTTTTAGTGTTCACCACTCTTTTACCCTCTCCTATTAAGAGCTTTCCTGATGAGGTGAGCAAAACTGCGTAAAGCATTCCAGCAAGAGCCTCATCAATCCCAAGTAAAGTTACATACTTACCACGGATGTCCTTCCCATGTACTCTTCTGAGTATCTCAAAATTATTCCCTTCTGTCTTTTGTTTTTGCACAACACCACACTGCTCTTGGCTGAATTAGTACCGAAACCTTTTAACTCTCAGATCATCGTGACATACTGCCACCTAGGGACATTTTCTTATTATTGCACTTCCGCATTTAACTTCACCCCAAGGGTTAAGCATCATGCTTGCAGACAAACAAGTGTTCTCTGCATGATGCATAATTTTGAAATGAAGGCTATCTCGCTAGACATCAGTCCAGCTCTGCCAACAACCACTGCCTTCAAAAGTCAGAGAGATTAAATTCAAAATAAGGTAAGCTTAGCTATGCTCTCTTTGAAGTGCACCAAACAACAAAAATGAGCAAGTAACAAATAGCTCGTTACCAAAGCTGGTAACTTATCTTGACCTGTGATATTTAAATACCTTATATTCCTTTCTTCTTCTGAAACATCACTGCATTTAAAGAGTTGAAAATGAAGCACTGTGTAAACTTTTTAAATCTTGAGAGGAATGCCCTCTCTCGTTTTTACATAAGATTAATGCTTCTGAAGTAAGAAATTAAATGAAGATGAACCATACTGACAGCTAACAGACACACAATTTCACCTCAGCTATGTTTCTAAATACACTACACTACCACAGTTCTAACTGGAGAAGCAGAAATACAGGCTAGGTTAGTTTTTATAGCACATACATGCACAACCTCCTTTGTTACTTACCTCTGATCTACGTACAAGATCAAAGTAGCTCAAGGTCTAAATATGTGAAAGCATTCTTATAGTATTAACATACATAAAAGGACAGAAATGTTTAGTTGCCCCTTGTATTATTATGTTCCCAGCTCTATTTTAAGAGGATAATACAGGCAATCACTGTAAAGACAATTCTCCTGCCTTAGCAGAGAACTCATTATCAAGTGCTACACTTAGACGATCAGGCAATTTCTCTTGGTTTTAACCCAGTCAACATGTCATTAAAACTATACAGCACAAGGTATGTACATAAATGCCACCTACATTATTGTCTGAAAATCGTCATCCACAAGGATCATATCTGCTGCCTCTTTACAAACGTCTGTTCCGGTTTGTCCCATTGCTACACCAATATCTGCAGCCTTCAGCGCAACAGCATCATTCACTCCATCTCCTGTCATAGCCACGACTGCACCGTTGTTTTGCAGGGACTGAAGAAATGGAAATGAGCTTAAATCAAGGACTGAAATAATCCATCCTATAAAATTACTGTAGATACAAGGTTGGTGTCATTCCCCCCCTCCTCCTCCCCCTGTCTTATAACTCCACTGTTAAAACCTAAAGAAACGCAGCTGTTTTAGCACATTTTTATACAAGATTTTGGGTTAAACAACAGTTTATATATTCAGACAGCCTAAATTTTAAAGCTAAGGTATATAAAATCTGCCTTTAAGAGCAAGTAAAAAAAAATCCTACAGAGAAAGAAAGATGATACTGTATTTCAATGTTAACATTCTCACTCTCCTATAACTCTCAGTGTAGTCTAACTGTCTGAATGCTTGACTTTCTTCTCCTTATTGTTGCTTCTTTGCTTTTCCAATTGTAACACTGAGGATGTCCCTCTTTGCTACCTTATTTTGTTAGCTTGTCAATAGAAGCATTACTTCAGTCATGGCTTGAAATTCACGCCCTCTTCTCGTTTTGAGAAGTATCAGAAATAGGGTTCTTTCGAGGTCCTCGTCAATGCAATGGCAATGTGACAAAATCTCAGTCAAACCCCAGCTCCCTGCACAGAAGAAAGCATGATGCTGCCTATCCCTTGGGGGCACTACACATTTTTCTAGGTAATATTTTCAAACACACTTCACTTTCAGACCAAATTCATTTCTGATTTCATCTCAACACGCTGTAACACGTTATAATTCAACTAAAGGCTCCACAAACACCTCCCATAGCAACTGTCCGGCGTTGGAGCCTCTAGTAAGACGTACCTTTATGATTTTCAATTTATGTCGGGGACTGGCTCTGTAAAACACTGCAACCTGTTAAAAGCACAATGAAGCAGTGGTGAAAATCTGAGAAATCTGAAGAACTACACTGGATTCTATAAAGCTAGGAAAAAAAGTGCTATCAAAGGCCAACTATACTCCTGTTAGCACCAATGTGAAGTACCAATGAGCTGTTTTTAAGAGTGAAATCGTCAGTTCCAGAGAAGATTCAAAGTGTGCTCTAGTAAACAAAGTTGGTGGTACTTATTTCAAGATAGAATATGCAATTTAAAAATCTTCTGAAATTATGAAGCAACCGAGTTATAATGGCTTGCTGCTGGCCTTCCTGACTCAATTCATGCAGGCAACTGCCATGCTGACTCTACAGCTGATGCCCTTGTTCTTGTCAGCACTAGTGGCAACCTACTTGGGACATTTCAACTGTACTAGTTTATGTAGCACATTATTAACAGATTGAGCTTTTCAAGCTAATTAATAAAGATTCCATCTTGGAAGGAATTACTGATTTTCTGATTTTTTTTTTTTTTTAACACTCTGGTTTCTCTCTAAATTGAAATCTGTGCACAAGGAATTTAGTTTTCCATAAACTCCATACTGTTAGCACTCACATCCATTTTTGCTGCTTTAGACTGCATACAGATACCAATCGTATTGGTTATTTTAATTAATTACTAATAAGATTTTAAATAAACGCCGAGAAAACAAACTGGGTCTCAGATCAAACATGCACAAAGCAAATTTGTAGCTATTTCAGCTATTTAAGGTGGACAGCCCTAAAAGAACAAGTATTACCGAATAAGCCAAAAATTATTATTTGCCACACAATTCCTGTTTTCTAAGGTTTTGTGAGTCTCCAAGGAAAGACACAACAACACAGCTGGCATGCACATTTCATGATTGTAAATACTGGCTTTTGGCTTGCTTATGTCAGACTCAAGCAGGCTGCAGTCTAATTTTGCGATTTTTTGCAGAGCAGCGCTTTGATGCATCAATTTTGCAACACAGCCAAGCCTGAACCTCAATTAGGTTTGATTATGCCTTCTCACTTACAAATTTGACACTGGCTAATACATTTAGTTATTTAATAACTAAAAAGTATTAAGCAGTAACTTAATAAATAAACCCTTTCAAAATTCTCAACCAGTGATCCCAGGTCGATTTAAAATCACTAACGATACCGACAGCTCCTCTTGCAGATTACAGAAGGATGGAGTGTCTGAACATGCACACTGTAAGGTGTTGTACATGTAAGCTGAGCTATTCAAAGAGGTAAAATGGTCTAACAATACAAGAAGGTGATGATGCTCACGGAAAGTGAGAGGTGACAAAATGGAAGTTCAAAGAGAGTCATGGAAAGGTAAAAACCAAATTGAATCATTAAAAAGAGACCAAAGTAGTAAACTCATTAAAAAGACAGCTGTGTGAAATGAAAGAAATAAGTTTTCATATGGTTGTATGTCTAACCAAAAGGCACTTGTTTGATCTGGAACCGCTTCCATGTCTCTATGCAAAAAGCCTCCGGTAATTTGCTGCATCACCTACTTCTGTTAGAGGCATGTTATTTGTATCTCAGAAGTTACATTTTAGCTTTCCACAGGAAAAAAAAAAAGGCATTTCTCAATATATCCCTTTACTGTATTTCAGTATGTAGTGTATCAAAACCAACCTTTGGTGTTATTTGAGAAAGCTGCTGAATATCCAAATCATCTATTTCTTCTCCAGAGATTGCCTGTGAGTTTTTGGAATACAATCCTAGACGACTCGCTGGAAATAAGTAATAAAAAGGGTATTATAACAGTTTATCCATTTAAAACATTAAGTACCTAATTTTCTTATTTTTAAACCTACTATTTTCAGCAGCATTTCAGATTTGAAATGCCTAGAGCAGAACATCTTGACACCTTACTGATTCAGTGTACCGACCAGAGTAAATCATCTGAACTCTTGAATAACAAAACACATGCTACAAAGTCTATTCTAATCAGATATTTATTTCCTTGGACTTCTTAGGACTAAAGGTCTGTACTTCACTGTGTCAGGTGCCATATAAACACAAGAGCTCAGTCCTCTCTGAAGAATTCACAGTTCAAAACTAACAAGACAATGAAAGATGGCACAGTGGAGACAAGGAAAATAAAAACCTCTGAAAAATTATTGCTAGTTTGGGGGTTTATTTTACACGCATTTTCAACATTTTGTTCATCACCCTGTATATAAGGAATTCATATTCTGGCTGAAGTACTCGTACTTAAAGGTATTATATTGTAAAATGGAGAAGTTTGTTTAAATATTCATTAATTGTACTTTAACATCCAACTTGGTTATATGGACAAAACTTGTTAGCGAGTACTGAAGTGCCATATCCATCCTAAATACTCATTGTCACCGGCTATTTTCCTTTCTCCCTGTGGCTGTAAGACAGGCATCCAAAGCTGAGGGTAGGGAGGACGGCGTTGGGGGTGTACGAGTAAGAATCAGAAATCGAGTTTATGTTATAACAAAATACAGTAAGAAAATACAGAGTCTCAAACAGCAGAAGTCACGCATTAACCAAATTAGAAAAACTACAGTTTAAGCTGCAACCACAGTATCACTGCAGGCTAGGGTGTGGGTTTTCTGGGTTTTTTTTTTTTTTTTTTCCTCCTAATTGCACTGTGCCACATGTCAGCCCAATACATCCAACTCACAAACGTCAGACTTCATACCCATGCTTCACAACACTGCCAAAACAGAAAACAAGTGCAAAATGAAAGGAAGTGGACTAACGATACCAATGGCAACTGCAGTCTCCTGCGAATCTCCAGTAATCATTTTTATGGCAACTCCTGACGTGATAAGTGTAGTAACAGCTTCTTTTACGCCAGTCCGTGGAGGATCGATTATTCCCACAAGCCCCAAGAAAGTCAGCTGTCCTAACTCAGGACCAGAAGCCAAGGCCAGAACTTTTAGAGACAAAGAAGAAAAAAAAAAGTTAAGATTCAAAATTAACATGTACATGAGCATTTAAAACGGCGGTTTTAAACTAGTAGGTAAGCATCAAGCAAAGGGCGGGAATTGCAATTTTCTGTTTTATAAACCTTGCTGGCAATGCCTGTTATCTTGAGTATTCAGAACAGTATTCAGACCTATTTCAGGTTTCAATGGTAACTTTCCTATCTGTTCCCAGAGGAAAGTGTTTATACTTTCACTGTGTGGAAAGAGAACAGCATCTAGCTTTGTGGTTTCTCTGTAAGCACATGGTCTTTTGTGCAAGAGGACGAAAAGGAAGATCAGTTAATGTATTTTTATTTTCTGCCTTTTTTTTTTTCTTTTAGAGAGGCAAATGTCATTGAGTACAGGCTGAATATTTTCTGGAATGCCTTTTACAGTAGGAATCTTAATTCAAATATATTGAAATGATACTGGAGTTGCAAGAGAAAAATCAAATTCACTTTTTAAAAAGTATTACCCTAGATTTTCTTGTTTGACCCTGGTCTGAAGCAGACAAAGAACGACTGTCCAAACAAAGCAGCACAGATATCACTCCCAGCATATCCTCTCATTTTCCAATAATCTGCATCCTAGGAATTTCCTGAGCCACACAGTACCCCCACCTTCACATTAAAAAGCTGTGGATGGACTCAACAGCCTAGAATTCTCTTTACAGAGGTCAAAGCAAGCCAGCCACGTGTAACATTTGCCCACAGTCGCCTCATACCAATCATCTTGTGAAAAATACTTCCAGTTATATTTAAACACCTACACAGCTTGTTAACATAAAACATAATTCCAATGGCATCTTCTGATCTGCAATCAGTTGTGCTAGCCTAACTCAAAAAGGTGCCAGGAGCCAAAGTGGTAAAAAAATAAACACATTGACATTTTCTAAAATTCCATACACACCTACAGTGAGATGTGGAAACTATTAGATAGCAATGTCCTGTTCAGTTACAGTCACATGCTAGAGATGACAGGAACCAGCACTGCCTTTGCTCACCCTCTACAATTTAATCACACTACACAGGCCTTAGGCAACAGCACCTGTTTCTCCACTCCCCTATTTTATAGAATAAAAATATATTATATTTAT